GCGGGGGAGCCTCTTCCTGGACGCTGGGATTGGCGCACCTTCTGTGCCCTAGGAGTGTGGAATGGTGGCGGGGAAGCCTCTTCCTGGGCGCTGGGATTGGCTCACCTCTGCCGTAGGAGTGTGGAATTGAGAAGCTTCTCTTTAATATCCATCTTCTGTTAGAATATTCCCAGTGACAAGTAGTTTGTTTGCTTCAAGAGGCTTATTGCATGACTATTTTGGGATAGTTTTGTTATACTGTTATTTGCGTCCATATTTTTCAAGTATTGAGTCTACTTTGACTCTGGCTGTGTACTCTTTCATGTTACAACTATCAATTTTTTGTGGTCCTAGGGATGTAACCCAGGGGTATGCTCCTACTGAGCTACATCCTTTGCCCCTTTTTTATTTTTTGAGAGAGGATCTTGTTAAGATGCCCAGCCTGGGCTTGAATTTGGGATCCTCCTGCCTCAGCCTCCCAAGTAGTTAGGATTACAGTCATGCACATGTGCCCAGCTATCTCTCAATATTTGAAGATGTTATGTTCATTTTTGTATTTCTTCAAACTGATCATCTTCAAATAATTTAGCCATTTCTTTTTATTGTGTTTCCAGTCTTCTTACCATTTGGTCACTTCAGAAACTTTCTCGATGTCCTTTTTGAGGTATTCAAAAATGTTTCAAATACTTTACAGGTAGTCTAAACAGGCTTCAGTGGGGTTGTCACCTGCTTTTATTTGAACATAGTGACCTATGAAAGCAACATGTGACTCTGTTGGGTTACTTAGCAGCCAGGTCAAACAGGCTTTTTAATTGACCTTATGTTTGCTAAAAACTTGAGGCCTTTTTTGCCCCCTGCAGCACTGGTTGACTGAACCCAGGGCCTGTACACTGAGCTGAATCTCTAACCCTTTTTTCACTTTTTGAGACAAGGTCTCACTAATGCTTAGGTTGGACTCTAACTTGTAGTCCTTCTCCCTAAGCCTCCTGAGGCATTGGGATTACAGGGTTGTGCCACCAAACCTGGCAGACTTGAGATCTTTTTAATGTGAACCGCTGAGACAGGTTCTTCTACTCCATACTTTTGCTATGAGTTATTTTATCCTGATCAACCTAAATCAAGTGTGAAACATTTTTGTTTTCATCCATCTTCACAGTCCACTGAGAACTTAGAATGTTACTTTATCTTATATATTTATGCCAGTGATGGTGAACCTTTTCGAGCTTTCAGTGATACAAACGGCCCACTGCAGTGTACATACCATATGTTCACTACCACTGATCTATGCTAACTCCCCACTTTGAGTTGTCTGTGCACTTGTTTAGGATGTCTTTGGCTGATTCATCCAAACAGTACATTTTAAAACTCAGTGGTTTCGTCACGTGTTGCGCAAGCGCAAGGACCTGAGTTTGATCCCCGGTACCAAAAAAAAAAATGATAAAAGTTATCCTAGTGTGGTGGCACAGGCCTGTAATCCCAGCACTTGGGAGGCTAAGGAAGGAGGATTGCCACAAGTTTGAGGCTAGCCTGGGCTACATAGTGAGTTCAAGGCTAGCCTGGACTGCATAGCAAGACCCTATCTCAAAAACAAAAAAATAAAATGTAAAGTTTATAGGGCTGTTTGAAGGTTAACATTGTTCCATACTATTTGAGGGTGGTATTCAACAGGTGTGAATCTGTTATACTGTATTGTCATGCTCCTTCCTACTCAAAGCGATTCTGGGTTCAGCAGCATCACCTGAAGCTTACTAAAATCACAGGTCCCACCACCAACCTACTGAATCAGAATCTGTATTTTAACAGGATTTCCAGATGATTAACACATTTGCTAACATTTAAGAATCCCTGGGGTAGCCTACATGTCTCTATAATGTTAGGAAGAGAAACACCAGATCATATGCAGACAACAAGTAAGTCAACAATGTTGTCCTGTAGAATTAACTGTGTAGCTTGTGATCCTAGAACTTGGGAGGCTGAGGCAGGAGGATCTGAGTTTGAGGCCAGCCTGTAATTCAAGGCTAGTCTAAACTATATAGCAAGAACCTGTCTTTAATAAAAAAGAATTAAGTAATTTTAAAAATATTTATGTCTTTCAAGGTGCAAGGTCCTGAGTTTGATCCCCGGTACCAAAAAAAAAAAGCTTCCCACGTGACCAGATGTGCAAGTTAAGGTTGAGAACTACCCCTATGGAAAGCCAATAAGCCTAGGGCAGTGAACCCCACATCTGGAGTTTCTTCTACTGTTTGTAGTATATCTGATAGTCTATTGCAGAATTTCGCCCTAGGTTTATTGTCAGATTTTACTGTGCTATATAGTTTCTAAGCCTTTTTTGAATATTGGTTCATTTTTTGTTTGTTTTTCAACAGTGCTATGGAGCTACAACCAGGGCCTCTTGCATGCACAGGCTCTACCACTGAGTTAATCCCCACCTCTAGATCATTTTTTCAGACTAATATTTTACCATTTCTACCATATCTCAGAGATCATTGTTACAATGTTACACATTCTCGTCTTGATTCTGAGTTTTTTCCCATTGTTTCCAGTTAGAAGGTAATTTTCCTTATTGAATAAAATTGAAATACAATGACTACCTTCCGTCTTCTGTTAATACACTGAGTCCCCTTCTATACTTTAGTACAAGATTCTTTTTCAAATACTGTTTTTAAATCTTTCCCATGTTTTGCAAGTTTCTGTTTCTGCACTTTAATGTCCTTGATGCTATTCATAAGACTTTGTATCACTGTTGTAACTTTTTGGTGTATAAATTTTCTGTTATCTTTGGTTCATGTAATTCATATGTCAGAACTTAGCAAATGTTTTTGCCTTCTTTTGGAAGATTTGGGTTTTTTTTATTGTTTGTGTTTTTGTGCTTTTTTGTGGGGAGTGCTGGGAATTGAACTAAAGCCTTCTCATTGAGCTATGTTCCCAGCCTTTTCTTTAAGAATTCTTTCTTTGTTTTTGTTTTGTGGTTGTTTTGAGACAGGGTATTGCTAAGTCACCAAATAGCCTAGGCTGGGCTCAAGGTTTTTATTCTCCTATCTCAGCCACCCATAGTGCTATGATGGAAGATTTGTTTTTAAAACCTATTAACCCTAAAATTATTTTCAGAACTTTTTACTGAATATTCACATTTGGGTTTTGTTCTAACTTTCATGTTATTAGCATTCAAAATACTAACTGCTTTTAAGAACATTAACCAGCCAGGCATGGTGGTGTATACTTTATAATCCCAGCTACTCAGGGGATGAGGCAGGAGGATCAGAGATGCCTGGAAAACTTAACAAGTTGTCTCAAAATAAAATTAAAAGGGCTGAAAGTGTAACTCACTGCTAGAGTGCTTGCTAGCATGCAAGAGGCCCTGGGTTCAATGCTCAGTGCCACAAAGAATAAGTCTGAGGCAAATATGTCATAAACTTTTGTAAACATTGATGGTCCTTGTTTTTAGTGCCTGGCCCATTTAATGTACAAGAGTGTTTAGTTTAAGCTCCTGATTTCTAGTCTTCCCAAAGTTTCAAGTTATAAAAACAGTATTTGTCAGAAATTTCAATAATTTATTCCTATCAAAATTAATCTTAGTTGGGCTGTTGATTTAGCTCAGTGGTACCACCGCCTGTCTGGCAAGCACAAGGTCCTGAGTTCAATCCCTGGTACCAAAAAAAAATTAATCTTAGTTATGAGATTAGGAAACTTTCCAAAAATATGACCCTCTCCCCTCCACTTCCTTGACCTGCTCCTTTTATTTGTCTAAACAATGATAGAATAGCTCTAAGAATAATGATCTAAGAAGATGGAATGGCGATTTAGGTATGTCCGTGTCTAAAGTTCTTAAGATTAGATTCAGTAAGCAGGCAGAGTTTGACAAGATAGGCTTCTCTCTGTTTTTATATCTGGAGGAGGGTCTGTTTCTATTTTTTCTCTTTAGGAATGATTTGTGAACATTCTGGTATCATGTGCTTTGTGTTAGGGTTAAATTTTAGTACCTATACAGACTTCCACTTATTCACTATGATAATGACTTTCCTTGCCCAAAATGACCTACTTGGAAACATGCTTTAGACAAAACCTCATTTTCACTTTTTATGAAGAAATATTTTTGATAATATATTTAATTTTAAATTTTCTTAAATTGGAAGTATTGTGACGTTTTCAGTCTAATAATGTCAATATGTAATATTACTTTACCATAGTTTTAGTGTCTTTGTATAATAAATACAATCTTTGCCATGTAATTGTATTGAAATAGTGTAACCTTTGCTCTGCCTTAAAGTGTGACATTCTAAGCCCAGTTTTTCCTTCATTTGACATCCATTTGTCCTGGTAATTTTTAAAATCACAATATGTTGATACATGTGGCACTTGGAGTGCTGTCATGTTATCACTGCATCGTGATAACTTATAGTGCACTGAGCAGCAATACAAAACATTAAGATTGCCACTTACACAGTCTGTAACAACTGCTCAGCTCTGCCATTATAGCAAAAAAAAAAAAAAACAGCCATGTAAATATGTATGACTCTATTCCAGTAAGACTTTATGAACACTGAAAAGTGAATTTCATTCATTTTTCACACATTATAAAATATTCTCTTTTGTAACCTTTTGAAAATGTAAAACTGGGCCAGGATTTAGCTCAGTGGTGCTGCGCCTGCCTTGCAAGCACAAGGTCCTGAGTTTAGTCCCTGGTACCAAAAAATATATATGTAAAACTCAGAGACTTAGAGTATTGCTTAGTGGTTAGCACTACTCTCTCAAAATGATTTGAACCATTCTTAGATTGCAAGGAGAATAAAAATAAGCAGCATGGCTGGATTTGGCCCAAAGGCTATAGTTTGCCAATCTCTGACCTAGTCTTTTCCTAGTATAGCAGTGCTTTTCTGGAGTTTTTCTTTTATGTGATTTTATTTACAGTATTTGAAGTCTTAAACTTCATGTCTTAACTTGCATTCTGGATGTTTGCATAATTAAAATTGTATAAAATATATAGTGACCTCTGATCTCAAGATTCGTCTTTCTCCTTTTAGATAATTTTCCACTTGTTCGTCAAGATGGAAAACTCAGATTCTAATGATAAAGGAAGTGGTGATCAATCTGCAGCACAGCGCAGAAGTCAGATGGACCGATTGGATCGAGAAGAAGCTTTCTATCAATTTGTAAATAACTTGAGTGAAGAAGATTATAGGCTTATGAGAGATAACAATTTGCTAGGCACCCCAGGTATGCTTCATGTAATATAAGGATTTTTATATGTATATTGCATATAAACACTTCAGTCTGTTTTTAAAGTCTTTAGTCATCATGTAATATGATTAGTACATGAGGTGTAGAATGATATTTACTGATGTACTTACTACTTGATTCTGTTCACATTTGGAATTAACTTACGTCAGATATTTTAAAGTTATGAATTACAAATTTTTAGTAAAAAGGTTGCAAAGAATGGAGCAGAACAATGTCCTTGTTCTTAGTTTTATTTAACTTTGTAGATATGTGTCCAAGTGTGGAATAGCTAATGGGAACTTTACTCCCTAAGATAGACTTAATTCTGCTTTGTCATTTCTGATTCTCTGAAAATGTTCTAATTAATAATCTTCCACAGCTAGCTGGTGGAATAAACTGGCAGCTATAACTTTGAGCCTATTCTCCTTTAACTGAATAAATCTCATTTGATCCTAGTTAAAACTGAGTATCTGTCTTCCTCTTTGTTTCCGATTAACCTTGAGGTGACTGCATAAAATTTTAAAATTTTTATTAGTACATGTTTGCAGTATATAATGCTTTCATCATGGGGCCTTGGCACATGTACTGTACATAACACATCTTAATTCTTTTATGTCCCCTTCCCCTCCTTCTATCTTCTGGTCCCCTTCTCATTTGCAAAAGGTCTTTGGCCCTGTTTGCTATTATCTGTCTTTTATTTGACTCTTTAATATATTTATATATTGATTTTCTTATATAAGCAAAACCATGCAATATTTGAACTTGTCTGATTTATTTCTCTTAACATTGTTGTCTCAAGGGTGACTGCATAAAATTTAATGGTAAGATTTTAGCATAACTTTTAAGAAATGGAGCATGTTTTGAGCCAGTAGTACCAGACTTGAATCAGAATGTCTTAGCTGGAGTTTTAGCTCTGCTATTTGATATGGCTTCTGGCAAGTCAGCCTCTCTCACTGTTTTTTTGTTTGTTTGTTTGTTTGTTTGTTTTTAAATGCAAATAAAAATGTCTACCTCCTAGAGTTGCAGTTTTGAAAGTTTAGATACATGTAAACACCCTTTGTAAACTGGAAAGACTTTTCTGTGTGATGCTAGGAATTGAACCCAGGGCCTTGTGCATGCTAAGCACATGCTCTATCACTGAACTATACCTCTAAACCCAGAAGTATACATATTTGTATACATGCAGGTTGTAGTATTTTGTTCCCAAAGAAGTGATTTTCTTCTGGTCCTTATTCACTCCCTGGTTTCCCAGAGATAAGAGTCACTGGCTTCCTTTTTCATTCTTTAACAAATTTTGCTTTTAACCTTTTAAAGTTTGAGATTGGTTCTTGCTAAGTTTCCCAGGCTGGGCTCAAACTTGGAAGCCTCCTGCCTCAGCCTCCAAGTTTGGAATTACAGGCATGTGTTACTACATATGGCTAAACATAAGATTTCTTTTACAGCCAGTCATGGTGGTACATGCCTATAATTCCAACCACTCAGGAGTCTGAACCAGGAGAATGGCATATTTGAGGCAAGCCTGTGCAACTTAGCAAGACCTTGTTTCAAAAATTACAAAGGTCTGAGAGTGTAGATCTGAAGTAGAGCATTCCTGCATTCCATTCAAAGTACAACAAATTTTTTCTTTCAAAATCATTATGTGTCAGATTACTGTTGGTCATGGATGAAGTGTTTGTCATTCCCCTAACTTGTTCTTTACGTTGTTGTGTTTAAAACTGATTTTCATTTGTAACCTGATAAGTAATTTTAAACTTACAGGAGAAAGTACAGAGGAAGAGTTGCTGAGAAGACTACAACAAATTAAAGAGGGTCCACCACCACAAAAATCAGATGAAAATAGAGGTATATTTTTCTTTGGGAGGTGGGTAGAGGATGGAATGATAAGAAATTCATAATAGTAAGTGTCAGCCAAAGATTATATAGAAATGGCACAAATTAATTTGGTGCTAACTTCTCATAAAAAGAAAAGTAATACTTTCTTGATATTTGATGAGAATTGTCAGCATAGTTTTTCTGCCTCACCTTTGGATTGTTTGCATGAATTGGGAGACTATGAGAAATGGCCTATTTAAGTATGATTTTTTTTTCCTTGATTTTTCACCTCCATTGAAATTTCCTACTTAAGTCCTAATTTACATACATGGCTTTTTTTTTTGAGACAGGGTCTCACTGTGTTACTCAGGCTGACTTTGAACTCATTGTGTAGCCCAGGCTGGCCTTGAACTCAGGGCAACCCTCCTGCCTCAGCCTTCTGAGTGCTGGGATTACAGACATGCACCACCATGCCCGGCTATACATGGCTTGTTCACTAGCCAAAAGAATATTGCATTATCTGTCCCAGTGATTTTCAGCAGGCTGTAATTTTGTCTCCCTAGTGGTACTGTGGGCATTTGTGCAACCAAACATCCTGATATCCTATAGTGCACAGCTCCCAGAATTAATGGCTCAAACGTCAGTAGTACTGCTACCGAGAATCTTGCTGTAACCTCAGGTTTGGTGTTCTCTCCCAGCATGAAGTAGGGAATCTGACTGTATAACCTTTAGAACTATGATGATAGTAATTTAGTTCTTGAACATACCATTTTATTTGGTATGCTAGATTTAGGGTGTTCATTTGATCTGGTCTTCATTTTCGTGTCAATTTAAAATATTTTTGGCGGGGGTACTGGGAATTGAAGCCAGGGTCTCACTGAGTTGCCCAGACTAGGCTCAAACTTGAGATCCTCAAACCTCACCCTTCTAGATTAGAGGTGTGCACCACCACCCCGGCCTCAATTTTAAATCTTCTTATATTTTTTGCTACAGTTACAGTAATCTTGTATTTTAAAACAACCTCATGTGGGTAGGGGATGTAGCCCTGTGGTAAAAGTGCTTTCCTTGCAAGCATGAGGCCCTGGATTCAAGCCCTAGCACAGTGGAAAAATAAACCAAAACTTATGTGATACCAAAGACACTTAATCCAAGAGGGTAGTGGAAGTAATGTTATAGACCAGTAGTGGCAAACCTTTGGCACATGTGCCACAGCAGGCTGTTTGTATCATTGAAAGCTCTGAAAGGTTGGCTTTTACTGTTGCAGACTGATGAAAATTTGACTAAATGTAATTTGTGCCTGTAGTAGCACTGTATCTTAAATAATGTTTGCATACTTTGATTTACATTAGTGTTTTGACAATAGACTGAAAATATATTGTTCTAATGGTCTCACTATGGTATGCTAAGCTCTATATATCATGAAATACTGAAAATAAAATTCCTCCATATTCCCCTTAAAAAATAATTCTAAATTTCTCTAGGATTGGCTTGCTCTTTTCAGATACAATTGAACTTTTCTTGCCCTTATAAATCTGTATGGTGTAGTTTGCAAGGATCTGTAAATGTGAAATTTGTTTAAAATTCTTAAGTTCTTTAGTACAAAGTTTCAGAGCCCTGTTACATGATTGTCCTAATTTTAGTAGTTCCTTTTTCTCCCTCTCTCCCTCCTTTGTTTTAAGCAGGTGGTGATTCTTCAGAGGATGTGTCTAATGGTGACTCTATAATAGACTGGCTTAATTCTGTCAGACAAACTGGAAATACAACAAGAAGTGGGCAAAGAGGAAACCAGTCTTGGAGAGCTGTGAGCCGGACTAATCCAAACAGTGGTGATTTCAGATTCAGTTTAGAGATAAATGTTAACCGTAATAATGGGAACCAAAACCCAGAGAGTGAAAATGAGCCATCTTCAAGACGTTCTGGTGGAGAAATTACAGAAAACAATAGCCAAAGGCCAGTGGAAAATCCGCGATCTGAAGCAACATCTGCAAGACCATCTAGATCAGAACGAAATTCAACTGAAACATTAACAACAGAAATCCCACCTGCTAGAGGTCAGAGGAGGGCAAGAAGTAGGAGCCCAGACCATCGGAGAACCAGAGCCAGAGCTGAAAGAAGTAGGTCACCTCTGTATCCAATGAGTGAAATTCCACGAAGATCTCATCATAGTATTTCATCTCAAACTTTTGAGCACCCTTTAGTAAATGAGACCGAGGGAAGCTCTAGAACCCGGCACCATGTGACATTGAGACAACAAATAACTGGACCTGAGCTGTTAAGTAGAGGTCTTTTGGCAGCTTCTGGAACAAGAAATACCTCTCAAGGAGCAGGTTCTTCAGACACAGCCATCAGTGGTGAATCTACAGGATCAGGACAGAGACCTCCAACCATAGTCCTTGACCTTCAAGTCAGAAGAGTTCATCCTGGAAAATACAGACAGAGAGATAGCATAGCTAGCAGAACTCGGTCAAGGTCTCAGACACCAAATAACACTGTTACTTATGAAAGTCAACGAGGAGGTTTTAGGCGTACATTTGCACGTTCTGAGCGGGCAGGTGTGAGAACCTATGTCAGTACCATCAGGATTCCCATTCGTAGAATTTTAAATACTGGTTTAAGTGAGACTACATCTGTTGCAATTCAGACCATGTTACGGCAGATAATGACAGGTTTTGGTGAGTTAAGCTACTTTATGTACAGTGATAGTGATTCAGAACCTAGTGGCTCGGTCCCAAGTGGAAATATGGAAAGGGTAGAGTCACGGAATGGAAGAGGGAGTTCTGGTGGTGGTAGCAGTTCTGGTTCCAGTTCAAGTTCCAGTTCCAGTTCAGGTTCCAGTCCTAGTTCCAGCTCCAGTGGCGAAAGTTCAGAAACTAGCTCAGAGTTGTTTGAAGGCAGTAATGAAGGAAGCTCTTCAGGTGCCAGGCGAGAGGGTCGACATAGGGCCCCAGTCACATTTGATGAAAGTGGCTCTTTACCCTTTCTTAGTCTGGCTCAGTTTTTCCTCTTAAATGAGGATGATGATGACCAACCCAGAGGACTCACCAAAGAACAGATTGACAACTTGGCAATGAGAAGTTTTGGTGAAAACGATGCATTAAAAACCTGTAGTGTTTGCATTACAGAATATACAGAAGGCAACAAACTTCGTAAACTACCTTGTTCTCATGAGTACCATGTCCACTGCATTGATCGCTGGTTATCTGAGAATTCTACCTGTCCCATTTGTCGCAGAGCAGTCTTAGCTTCTGGTAACAGAGAAAGTGTTGTGTAATTAACATCTGAACTCTCAGCTTTGTAGCTGGTGTAGTGATGGGCAAACAGGAATCACTTGCTTTATGTCCACTTTTTGAGTGGTGCTTAGCTTAAATGTAAAGTAACAACTGAATTAAGTCATTTCTTTCTGAAAGAATCATGTCCTTCAGTTTCCATTTCAGAATAAAAAGAAATATTTAAAAAAATTTTAGAACCTAAAAATCTGATTTCAATACCAGTTGAATTGGTAGCATCTCTGTTACCAATAATTTATACTTGTAAGTTTCTCTTTTGTTATCTTAAAAGATCTGCCTTAGCAATGGCTCCTGTCTGTTTCATGCTGATCTTTAACGTTTCCCATGCCATGGGAGAGAGGTTAAGGAAATTCCCAGACAAGACTAAGTTATATGTGTTTCATAAGTGATTACTTAAAGTTATGCCATTCCTAGTTATTAGTTGACCCAGATTCAGCCACATTCTGAATATTTGTTCACCTTTCAGACTCGGTGATACTGGACGTGTCAGTGTAAATAACACTAAAGATAGAATTTTCTAAGTGTATGACTGTCTCCTAAGCCCATTACTGTGGCACATTATAGAGTGAGCTTATAGTTTGAGATATTTATCTTGTGGAAATATTAAAAAGCCTATGCTTGTGTATGTGAAGAAATCACATTCATTTGTTTAAAGATGTAAAGCTATTTTGTAGAGGCTCAGTACTTTTCCAATGCACTGTTGTATTGATGCATTAAAAATTGTAAAGTACCATGCTTAGAAATGAGAAAACTGCTTTTTGTGAACGAACATAGTAAAAATCACACCAAACAAAGTATGAAGCTGCTTTTTTTTAATGTGTAGGTGTCAAGAGCAGAACATATCTATAATAATGTATGTGAACAGCTACAGTGACATGAAAAGAACCACGCAGAATCAAACTGAATGAAAGACCAATGGAAATTGTGTTTTAACTTGGATTTAGGCAGGTGCTTAAAGATGAGAGTACAGAAAACTGCTCTGAAGAAGTTTTCATGAAGACAGTAATGCGGACATTAACTGGTTTCATGTGAGAGCAGTAGCAGCTTGACTTGGTATTCTACTTGAACAGATGAAGCAGATAAGCAAATTTGGCAGAGCTCTCTTTGATTTAAAGAAAATGAACCATTGCCATCTAGCACAAGTTAAATTGATGTTTTAGAAATCTACTCCTCAAATTAAAAAAAAAAACCATGGGGGAAAGAGACTATAAACCACTTTCAGCAGAAAAATTGCAGTTGGTACAGATGTATGCTAATTGGAAAGTCTCAAATATGCTTGTTTTCCAGATTTGTCATGTAAGGTACCAGTGCACACTTCTTACTATTTCATTACTGCCTCTAGTACAGATTAACAGGTCATATTTAAAGACCTGTTGAAGAATTAAGGAGTTTTTATCCTTAGTTGAAAGTGAATCATGCTGGGTTATTTAAAATTCAAATTTTAATTGTGCTGCCCATATTTGAACATGAGACTGCTGATTCATTATCCATGGACATGCACTTTATGTTGTTTTCTTAGTAGAATAGATTTGTGATAACCCCAATAACTTGCCCAATTTCTCTTGAGGCCAGTTGGGGTCAGGATTAGTCTGGCTATGGAGCAGATACTTTGTTTTTCTGGGGAAAGCTAATAGGCCAGAAGGGAAATTGAACACATCCTTGGCCTTTAACACCACAAAAATAAAATGAGCTAATCACCCAGATATAGTTAAATACTCTACAAAATAAACAAATCTGCTTTCAGAATTACCTGGCTACTTTACTGTTATCAGCTTAGCTGTAAAATTTATTTCAAAGCTCATTCTATCATGTTTTCTTCTGGCTTTCAGTCCTACCTAAGAATCAAGGAAATTATAAATATGGTAGTTGTTTACTAAGGATATGTACTGCTCTTGCAAGGAAATAATATCCAAACAAAGCTTCACATTTTTTAATATAAGCAGATTTCACTGTTTATGGCGCTTATGTAATACCTTTTATTTTTTAAAAATTTTTCCATGTGAAAATCAGGATTCCTTTATATTTGTGAGCCTCTTTGTCTCCTAAGGGTGTAATGTATGGTTTTCAGATCTACAGGGTAGTCTTGACTGGCTAAAAAGATCCATTTGTCCTCTTGGAATAAAATGTTCTCTTGCTATGGGGCATTCATTTTAATAGTTTAAAACCAGCAGCAGCACATCCTAAGTATAAATGAAAGTTATTGACAACAAGTACCTCCCTAGCCTCCCAAAATGTATTACTCACTTGTGAAGTATTAAAAGTAAAAGGTAACTCAAGCAGAATGCTGGTTATGAATGTAGATGTTGAAGCTATTCATAAACACTGGAAGTAGAGCTCTCACGTTTTTGAATGCACATATTGGACCTGTGTATGTGGACACCTTTTTTCAATAAGACTCATCCATTGGCTGTAGAATGAATACAACTATTTTTAGTGGAATTTGCTACTTTTCATTTTGCAGAGTCTATGACTAATATACTTACTGGTGTTGTGGACATTGAAGACAAAGTGGTTTATAAGGTGTCAGTTGTGCAATGGAGAACACAAATTGTTTTTCCCCATCAGCATCCAAACACCTATTCTTGGGAGAGCATTTTCTTTCTTGCAAAAGACTACACTTCATTTTGTGTCTTTGCATTTTCTCTTTATTACAGAAAGGTTCTGTCTTTAAGACCTACTTTGAACTTCATGCAGTAATAGGAACAAGAAAATACTGAAAGATTACATTGTTTAAAGCATAGGGAAAAGTACTACAACCTGCATTTTCTTGAATATTTCAGGTGTTTGTAAAAATTCACTTACTGGTATGAAATGTTTGCAGTGTTTTGCTTTTTAACTCCAAGCAGCAGAGGAGGTTGAGATTTTATTACTACTAGAAGACAAAATCAAAGAAGTTAGGTTGAAACTTTGCAGACTCTAGCAACACTAGAAGAGAATCATGTTAATTGGAATATTTGCTCTAAAAAGAACACATTAGTTATACCTCAGTCATGTTAATGGAGGTGGGGACTGAGAAAATTTCACATTAGTGTTGGAATGTAGTTGATAATTACACAGATCATAAAACCTTTAGCGCCAGGAGATACGCAAAATCATTAAGAACATGATTATTGGAATTCAATCTTAAGATTAGGAAACTGGTTAGCTAGAAGTATTACCTCAATTAATGTCTCCCCCTCCCCCAAGGAAAACATCCTTTCCATGCCAAGTATTCTTGCTGTAGCCAGTGTCTCATTTATGAAAAGGTTATTGCTTAATATGCTTTGTATTTAACCACCTGCTTCCCAAGTGATCACAACATGAATGGGTCATGAATTAGCCATGACTTTCAGTTCCCCCAAATACCCATGGAATATGCAAATATTAAATGCTTCTTAAAAGCCCATTTTTACAGCTTGCATTCTTACAGTGGCACCTTGTGGTTGACTTTTTAAGATGGGGGTATTTTTATCCACTCCCTTTTATTCTCCTTTGTTCTTTCTGAACAAAAATAATTTGTAATATGCCTTATTTTTTAAAAAAAAATGTTTACTGGCTTTCCTGTCAAATATTTTACCAATATTAAGTACATAATGCTATGTTTGCAGGGCACTTATTGTTCTTTACTAGTCTTATAAGACTGCTTATTGCTATGTTTTGAAGTATTCTGTACCTTAGTAATCAAGAGAGTGACAAGGTACATGTTAAAGGTGTTTTTTTCTTCAGTATAATTCAATACATTTAATATTCAATAACTTGTAATTCTTTAGTAAATTGCTTTTGAAATATTGAAAACGTAAATTGATGTAACATACTTCATTTGGAAAGTTAAAAGTGCAAAGTCTGAGGAACCAGTACACTTATTTTTAAATCAGTTTTAATAAGCAAAATAGCTGTGAATTCAGTACCTGCCCTTTAAAATATTTTAGCATTCTGAAATTAATTCTCTTTGGAACATTTCTAAAATGTCTAGTACTCTGAACAGATAGATGAGTGTTCTTATTTAACCCTAGTGTGTATCTAAAAGTGTACAACATGGAGGTGTATCAGGGTGTTTGGAACTCTGAATAAAAGAACAGTTTTATCAGTTTATGATAGTTTTCACATCTACATAGGTATTTAGATTCAAATCTAGAATAAATAGGCATACTATCCAAAACAAAATTACAGCAAGGTATTTTTTTTAAATTAGGAATTATTTACTAAAGTTCCATGAGCTGCTTTATAGTCACTTGGGTTGACTATCTTAAAGACATGCAGTGAAAACCCATTTTACCACTGTGCCTCATTTCAAGATTCCTTTATCAGTTCATCTTGCTGATTTGTTCTAATACATTGGTATGGTTGAACCAGCTGCCCAGCCTTAACTCTAGTGCCCTGTTAACATTCTTTTAAATGATTGGTTTGTATGTATTAACTGTCCATTGTTTGGATTTTAACTCCTGGTAGCTCCATGTGTTCCTGGTGCTGCTTTTTAAAATGTAGAACCATATAATCACATATCAAATTTGAGTAGGTATGCAGTTGGCCTGGCTATGTATCTGTCTGTTTTATCTTCTCCCAAGAGGAGCTGCTTTGGTATAGATGTTTACTTAGATTCATATAAAGAACTGGGCAGCCATCTTGGAAAGCTTTCTGAAGCCTAAAAGAACCTGACAGGATTTGGAAGGGGAACAGTAACAAAGGCTGCCTTTATGTCTTTGAACATGAAGCACATAAACCTATGTTATGTAAAGACTGAAGTGATTGTTATACCAGGGCTTCCTGACCTTTGGGAGAGACTTGGAACAGAGGAGCACAAAGTGAAGTGAATTTCATTGGCTTGCTTTATCTGATATCTCGTTTTCTTTCAATTTAAACCTGAACATAACACCCGTTCTCAGTATCTGTCTAGCAAACTCCTGGTTGGGAAGCCCTGTATTAAAATTTGAGAATGTACCCAGTTTTCTCTTTTGTACAGTGCTTTACACCTGCTAAAAATTAACTTGTTTAATGCAAAAACAAGACCTTGAAAGGTTAGTCATATTACAGCTGGTTTGATTAATAGTTATCTTTTAGGAAGAAGCTTTTCCCCTATGTAAGTTGTCATATTACAGATTTAAAATATAGACTATCAATAAAATGCATGAAGTGATCATTTGTGCTTGATCATCTCTCCTTGGGGTTTTCTTTAAAAGGGGGACTGATAAAGGTTCTGTTGCTTCAAATCAATGTCAAATAAATTTGGTACAGAACAGCTTTAATTTTGAATTTTGCTATGTGTATGGGCAGGTACTTTTGTTTATGTGATAGAATTTCCACTTCAACTCTGTTGTGAATGGCTTGTTAGTAAAATAGTAGATTAAAGTATATTCCAATAGAAATATCCTGGGAAGATTTATGTAAATGACATTTTAAGTAAGTGCATCTTTGCTATTGTATTCTCATTATCACCCTGACCATTCCCTTGCATGACTTCTGTATGAAGTATGATTGAAAAATATGATGTTTAAATAAATTTACAGTAACACACATTGCCATTACTCCCCATCAAAGAACTCCCCCTCACATCAAGGATTTACCATTCTTGGCACTTTCCAAAACAGTTCTGGAAGTAACTCTTGTAAGTTTTCACTTGCATTGTTGTGGCTGCCTTGATGTCCTGAAGCAATTCAAAACATTTACTTTTCATGGTCATTTTTACTTTGAAGAAGAGCCAGAAGTCAAAAAGTGCCAGATTCTGACTAAAGTGGATGTGGATATACCATAAAGTTTTTTATGAGCTTGCCTTTCTATTGGGTGGCACTCAGCAGCAGCATTCACTATATTTTATCACACCTTGTAAAAGACACGAGAGAGGACTTCCAGAACAGCTTCAGAAAGTGACAAAAACCATGGGATGTGTGTTCTAAATGAAGGGAATCATTTTGAGAGATAAATAACTTTGTGACATACTATAAACTAAAAAGAAAGATTTAAACATTTTCGATCACCCCTTGTATATGCAAAAGTTGGCTAGGTGTGCTTGTGTAGTCTGCAACTTCTGTCTTCCATCCCTGCCTCCATCCTCTCAAACATGTCCCCTACGCCACCAAGATGTCCTTGTTTCTAAGCAGATCACATTTTGATATAAGACTTTCCCTTAGTATTCATTTAGCTGGCTATGAAATTTATTAGTTTCATTTCCTCTGTTGCCTTTCTCTGTCATTGGTATGAGAACTCGTTTCCTCTGGATAGTTTCAGCGGGGTCAGCTCTTCATCTCATAATCTAGATTTCATGTAATTTTTATGTCACATGATTCTATTTTTTGAAACTTGACACCACTGAAAAGTTTGCCCCCTAGACAATGTACACCCGTATACTTTTTTGAAGGAAAGTTTGTGAAAAAGACTCAAGATAACTGAACGGGATTTGATATATCTGGGTGGATTATAAACTGCACTTTATGGTCCTTCTTTTGGCAGTTAGGTTCCAACCCAGGGCCGCACGCATGTGATGCATGTGCTCTACCACTGAAGAACATCCCAGCTTCTTAATAGAACTTTTATGAACTCTGAAAGCTAAGGTTCAGTTTCCTTAAGGTCTTTGAATTTAGGCAAGATTTAAATCTAAGGACTTACAGATAGATTACTAGTAGCTGTATTACAAATGACTAAATTTTTCCAATTGCTGTCAGACTATATTAACTACTTTATATAAAATTTAATCTTCAAGTGGGCCAGGGATGTAGCTCAGTGGCACAGTGCCTGCCTGGCAAGTGCAAGGTCCTGAGTTTGATCCCTGGCACAAAAAAATCAAGTGAAGTAGAAATATTTTTATCCTGTTTTATAGGTGACACAGCTAAGATACAGATGTTTAGTGTTTTGCCCAGGACCACATAGTAAGTTGCAGAGTATTTTCCACTCACATCTTTGATTCCAGAGTTTTTGAGGTGTTTTTGTCTTTCGTAGAGGGCATTAAAGCCAGGGCCCTTGCACCCAGCTATATCCTCAACCCTTTTTGCTTTGAGACAAGATCTCACTAAGTTGCCCAGGCTAGGCTTGAATTTATGATCTTACTTCAGCCTCCCAGAGAGCAGGTAGGTGTGTGCCACCATGTCCAACTGTTTTTAATCCTGTTCCTATATGACCTCTTGTTTTTCAATATTTCTCTCAAGCCCTAAGCTCTATTGTATGATTTCTTAGAATAAACATCAGTTTTGGCTGGTTGGCTAAGGAAAACCTAAAAGAGCAAATAATTTTCTCTGAAGATTAAAGGAATATATTGTAAATTTGGCAGGTCACTTTGGGCATTACTAAATATACCTTAGCTTTATAAGTAATGTAAACCTTCATTTTAACTGGTTAAGTGTATCTTAGACTCATTCCTAGAGCAAAAGGTATCAAAGTATTTAATTTCTTGAAGTCCAGAAGTAGACTAGAATAAAATTTGGGGAATCTTTGTGTTTAATGGTCATCTCAGCCCCTTAGTACATGTACTCTTGGCCCCAATTGTGACTACCTAAAATGTGAAACAACTAGAAAGAATTGCAGCTGGGTGTTCTGTTCTTTAGTACACCAGTCAACTTACTGCCATCCAGGAAAATGCCCTTTAAAGTTAGTTGCCTTGGTAGCCATAGGCATTCCGAGAATGTTGCTGTTACTGGTCAGAAGGTACTTGGAATTTGTTTAAATTACTTTTACCAACAATTTTATGAGTCATTGAGAGAAGTAACCCAATTCATTTTGTTCACTTTATTTGCTACCATTGAGATGAATCTTGGTTCACTCTAAGAATTACCTTTTTCTCAGTGGATGGAGATGTCACCCTTACACATATTTAGGAATGTACTATACATTCTTAAGGCAATTACAAACAAGGCATTTCCAAATAATAGGTGCAGTGGTGTTTAGAGTCAGTAAATGGCTACTGAGGTAAGATTATCAAGCCTCATTAAACATTTGAAGCACAGGAGTAAAGATACAGTTACCACCCAAAAGAAGCAGGCATTTTAGTGGAGATGTGTAAATTTTAAAAAAAAACTTTTTGAGATAAGGTTTCACCATGCAGTTCAAACTTGCCTTGGACTCACTAGCCCAAGTTGGCTTCAAACTCTTGGCAATTGTCCTACCTTAGCTAGCCTCCCGAGCACTGGGATTACAGGTGTGTGCCATCACACCTGGATTCAATAATAAAATTTCAAAACTTCAAGAGATATACTTACTGTAATTATCTCCGTTCAGATACATCATGACTACTAGAGCTAGTATGATATTTGAAGAAGTGAGATAATGGGATAAACAAGAGTTCTGAATTTGGAGTTAACTCAGCTAATAGATAAATGTGGCTTATGTTCTTCACTCGTTGTAGGCATTCTGGTCTGAGCTTTTTCTTCCCTTTGTTTTTGCCAGACTGGGGTCCTGAAGACTCTAAAATATTGCTGAGTCTCACTGGACAGTTTTGGTGCCTGTGGTATTACTAGATTTTTAAAAGATTCACAATTGATTGAGCTCAGTGATGCATTTCTGTAATTTCAGCTACTTGTAAAGCCGAGGCAGAAGAATCCAAGTTCAACATGAGCCTGGACAACTTAGTGTTATTTTTAAAAATAAAAAGGGCTGGGATGTAGCTCAGTGGTAGAATGCTTGCCTAGTTTATACAATCCCATGGGTCCAATCCCCAGTACCACACAAAAAATGATACTCTATTTGCAGCAAATGTTGTATGTTAGTGCTATCTAGTAGAAATATGCAAGTCACACATGTAATGTTAAGTAGAAACCACATCACAAGATAATTTGTAAAGAAATTTTAATGTATTTAACCCAATAAAGTAAATATTATTTCAACATATAATCTGAATATTTTTTTGAGACAGGATCTCACTGTAGAGCCCTGGCTGGCCTTGAATTCACAATCCTCCTGCCTCAATCTCCCAAGTGCTGGGGCTACAGACATGTGCCACCATGTCCAGCTCCATATAAAAAACTATGAGTGAGATATTTACACTGGTTTTTTTATACAGAATCTTCAAACCCTGGTATGTTCTTATGCTTACAGTACATCTCAATTTGGACATTACAAATGTTCAATAATCACAAGTGTCCAGTGGCTACTATTGTACTGTGGCATACTAGAACAATATGGAGAAGAGAGATGAAAGTGGGTAGAACACAAATGATGAGTTTTAAAAGTTCACTTGTGGATATGCATAGATACACCTCCTCACTCATGCTACCCCACAACTAAATAAGCCTCGTTCTTTTAATTGTGCATCAGAGTTTTTGGCTTGCGGTAGCTATCCAAGCTTATAAAACTACCATCTTTCTCCTTTCGCTCCCTATGAAAGCTTGCAGTTTATTAAGAATTAGCAAAAGAACTTAACTGGGTAGGGAAGACCATTATAGTTGCAGCAGCCCATAAATAGCAGTTACATTTATTTATTGTGGAAAACCACTGAAAATTTTATATGGAGCCTCTCAAATTACTTAATAAATGTAAAAATAATGCACATAATTTCCAAGCAGTTCATCTGAAATATCTACATTTATTCCTGGCATTTGTTAGAAACATAACTTGGATTTACAATCTGTTTCCACTTTATATTTAGATAGTGATAATGTATATGATGAGTATTTTGGCTGGATGGGGAAAAATAGACAACATGAGAATAAAGGATGTCAGATCAGATTTCAATCCCAATGAAAACAAATGTTTCCTAACACCAAATCTCTCTGATGCCATTGCTGAAAGTTTGTTTTGTTTGGCAACATGTAGTAAAATATTTACAGTCCTACGGAGAGACTTTGGAGTTGAGGTTTTTGGAATAAGCTGATTCATTTGGATTGGCTTTACTTGTATTTTCTGTATGAATATAATGTGACATTATCTGTGGTCTTTTTAAGAATCTGAAAACCAAGTTGGTAATAGATGAATGTTGGTTTCTAGTGTGAGTGACTCTGATCTCGCTAGCATGTGAATCTGACTGCTTACTTGTAAGAAGCCAGAGAAGCCAATCTGTCAGCCTTTTTTTTTTTTTAAAAAGAGAAAAAGTTTATCTTGGCTCACTTACTTGGCTTTTTTTTTCAGAATTTTGCATATTCCCCCTGTAGATTAAAGGCAAAATTCAGGAAAATTTGTTCCTTCTGTTGTGTCTTCAACCTGCTCTTTCATGGGAGGAGGAAAAGAAAAATATAGTGTCTGAAACTCTACAGGCATTAAAGTTTAGAATTGATCTTAAGGAGACAACAACTTGGCACCTGAACCCAAATTCTGAAGCATTAGTTTGATGGAAAAGAAACTTCCTCCTAATAATTAAACTATTTTCTCCAGCATCTGAATTAATCCCTTTTCTCTCAGTTTGAAGCCTGTTACAATCTACATGTTTAAATAGGAAAATTAGTCTAATCTGCTAAACAGAAGTACATTCTAACTTTCGTTTTAGTATAGATGCTATTTAACAGCACTTGTACGGACATGGGCACTGAATGAGCCCTTTCTCTGTCCTTTAAAAAAAATCAAAACCATCTAGAAAAATAAAACCAGGGAAGCCCTTGTTCTTTTTCTATCCTACCTCAAGGTGTTCCCTTCAGTTCATAGTATTGTTACATTTGATTTTGAATACCATATAAGTCAACTGTCCTGCATATATTAACTGATTACCTGTTTTAAAATGCCAGTTTAAAATCCAGAACCTAGAAACCTGAATGGGCTACATTCCTGACTGACACCTTTGTGGATGACTCAACTATATTCCAAAGAACCACCATGGGACATATAAGAACACTATGATTTATACAACTCACACTTTCCAAATACCACCACTCGACATACACTTTGATCCTGCTGAAAGGTTAAGGTGAGCTGCCAGCATGGCCCAGAATGATGGGGAGCAATTGGACATGGCACTTTAAAAATGAAATTGAATCAGAGGTTAAATGACATGCTCCAAGTCCCACTGCCATTATTGATCATTTAAAAAATATTTCTTGGAGCAGGACATGATGGCATATACCTGTAATCTCAGCACTCTGGTAGGCTGAGGCAGGAAGACATTAAGTTTGACTCCAGTCTATACATTTTAATGACATAAGACACCCTCTCTTAAAAATATAAAAAAGGGCTCACCCTATAACATCGGTAAATGCACACAGATCCCAGCAAGCAGTGGTGTGGACCAGAGTGGCACAGCTACAGTCAATCCAGCCAGTGGCCCGCCATAACCCCAGCAACTTGGGCACACAGGCCCAAGCCAACAGCTTGCCCAGAAATGAGCTGCAGAAGTACACAAGCATCAGCCAGAGGCCCACCCAATACTATCAGTAAGTTCACGGAGACCCTAGCCTGAAGCCTGCTCAGACACCTGGGACTGGGGTGCACAGCCCCCAGCCCAAAGCTCTCCCAGACAAGAGCTACACAGGGGGGCAGGCCCTAGCAAGAGGCACACCTAGATACCATTGCAAGTGTGCACATGCCCCAGCCAGAAGCCTGCCCAGAAAACAGGTCACATCAGGAATCCAGAAGGGAACCATTCTGAACCCAGGAATGGGTGCACTGGTGAGCAGCAGAGAAAAAGCTACTCAGTGGCTTGCTGAAAATTCAAGACCACTGGGTGAGGAAAAAGTTGCCTCAACAAAGGCACAGCAGGCTGCATTTGTTGAAATGTGAAGACACATAAATAAGCCTCAAAACCAGACTTCCAGATCACCTAAGGCAATCCCAAAGGGCAATGAGATGGAATAATCTGATACTCAATGACCTGGACTCCCTGAACAGGCAACAAAAGGGGATGTGGAAAAAATGAAATCAGAAATAATTTCTCAGATAACAGCAGAGATTGTGCCCATAATGCAAGATATGATCAATACATCTAGAGCAGACACAGATAAAAAAATAGAGGATCTGAGGAACATGATAGAATCCCAACATAGGAAACAAATGGAATCCATAAAGCAGATGCAAGCAGATTTCCAGGAGATTAAAAACTCCACTGAAAGTTTATGCAGCAGAATGAGCCAATGCAAGGATAGAAATTCAGATATAGAAGATAGGACTGCAATTAGTGACCAGGAAAAGAAAAAATTCTTTAAAATAGTAAGGGAGCATGAGAAATCAATCCAGCACCTGCTAGACGATGCAAAGAATAATAACATAAGACTTATCAGAGTCAATAAAGAAACAGGAGAGAGTGCAGATGTCATAAAAAAAATTGTTCACAAAAGTAATGGCAGAAAACTTCCCAAATAGGGGGAAAGAACTTGACATACAGAAAATTGAGCCATATAGAACTCCAAATAGCCACGATAAAAATAATCTACACATAGGCATATAAGAGCTAAGATTCCAGAAACACAACAGAACAAATTTCTACAAGCAGTTAGAGAAAAGAACAAGTCACATACAAAGGAAAACGCATCAGAATGACAGCAGACTTCTCAACACAAACCCTCAAGTCAAGAAGAGCTTGAAGTGATATATTTCAAGCCCTAAAGGAAAACAACCTCCAACCCAGATTGATGTACCCTACAAAACTCGTTCAAAATTGATGGAGAAATCACATACTTTTATGACAAGGAGACGATAAGGAATGTCGTGAATACCAAACCAGCACTCCAAAAAATTTTATAAAATATCCTAGGAAAGGACAATGAGGATCACAACCCCAGGAAGCCCAGCAGAAAGAATCTGTCAGGCACAACAAGAAATTAAACGCAAAGGGGGAAAATCCAACAAAAAGAAAAAGTTATGACAAGGATGAGTCAATACATATCAATTATAATCATCAATGTTAATGGTCTCAATTCACCAATCAAAAGAAATAGACTGGCAGAATGGGTCAAGCACCAAGATCCAACAATATGCTGCATACAAGAAACACACTTCATTCAAAAAGAAACTCATAGACTGAAATGTAAGGGATAGAAAACAATACTCCATGTGACAGGAACCTGACAAAAAGCAGGAGTAGCTATCATCTTTGCAGACCAAATGGATTTCAAACCAACACTAATTAAGAGGGACAAAGGACACTAAATCCTTGTAAAGGGAACAATCCAAGAGGAAGAGATGACAATCATAAATATATATGTACCAAACACTATTGCACCCAACTATATACAGTAAATACTAATGGACATGAAAAATCAAATAAGCACTAAGACAATAGTAGTGGGGGACCTCAGTACTCCACTGTCACAAGTAGATCAACTAAACAAAAAATGAACAACAAAATACTAGAATTCAAACTCTTGAACAAATGAATTTAACATGTTTACAGAGTGTTCCACCCCACAAAATCAGAATACACATTCTTTTCAGCTGCACATGGGTTGTTCTCCAAAATAGACAACAAACGTGCTCATAGAACATGTTTAAGTAAGTGCAAAGGAACTGAAGTTTTCCCCTGTATATTTTCAGACCATAGTGTGATGAAATTGGAGATCAATAGGAAAAGAAACTGCAAGAATTTCATAAACATATGGAAATTGAACAACACACTTCTGAATAACTAATGGGTCAGAGAGGAAATTAAAAAAGAAATAAGACAATTTCTACAATTAAATGAAAATGCCAATACATCATATTGGAATCTATGGGACACAATGAAAGCAGTCTTACAAGAGAAACACATACCAGTGAATACTTATATTAGGAAAACAGACCGAGCTCAAATAAACAACCTGGTTCTAAACCACAAAATTCTAGAAAAAGAAGTGCAGGACAAACCTAATGCTCATACAAGGAAGGAAATTATAAAATCAGGACAGAAATCAATGCAATGGAGACTAAGAGATGATACAAAAAATCAAACCAAGAGTTTGTTCTTCTAAAGAATAAACAAAATTGACAAACCC